AAGAGTTCCCCGCTCATTGTATCAGAGCCGGTGCCGGCGATCGGAGCTGTGGAGGTGAAATGCTACAGGCTGGTGTGCGATTCGCTCATGGGGCAGCTCCGTCTGCTGCTGGGTCAGCATCGCCTCTCAGCTTAAATCTACAAACGCAGGTTTACTCTGTGAGTCCAGTTGCTCCTCAGCTCCTGCTTCACTTCCTCACTGAAGTCATTGCCATCCACCCTGCAGCACAGAGAGAGGTTCACGCTGACGCGGGTTCACACGGAGACTCGAGCAGCTCCTCACAGTTCGAGACCCACACAGCCCCCACAACAACCGCGCTGGATGAAGGTCTCCCCATGCCATGAGAGCTGCTTTACAATACTTCACCACGCAGGTCATTGCAGGTCTGTGATGGCAGGGACTGCAGATCTAGGATAGTATAGTTCAAGGGAGAATTGTGCTGCACACTGGTCCGTTGCCCACAACTTAGCTCTGCTGCCTATAACCCCTGTGGTTATGTGCGTCATCCATCTAAGCACTATCTAGGCTAAAACCTGCTTATCTTGCAGATTTAAGATAAGGCGCATTCCCAGTCGTTTGGTCATGCTCCTTGGTCTGATAATGCTTATTACATGTACTGGAATACACTCCACGACTAATCCCAGTTCTGGCAATGGCTCGTGTTGATAGGACACAGCCGTGCTGTGGAGAAGGTCCATTGCTCAAAACATTGCCTTTTGCATATATTTGTTATGTTAAGGCTACAGAGTTTTGTCTGTAGCAACAATTAGAGTGCGTATGAGACACGAGCAGCATAACTTACCAGAGCTCCCTCAATGATTTGTTGGTGATCATAATGTCATGAAGAGATAGGATCGATTTGTCCATCAGTGAGCAGTACTGCAGACTACAGGAGAGAAGAGGCACTGAGTGAGGTGAAATTGGAAAATAAAGTGTACACTCACAAGAAATGGAGAGCAACTCAACATCCTTCAATACAATGACAATGGTGGAAATCTTATAGAATCAGTTAAACAAAGAGGGAGGGAGTGATCATTGCAGACACAGGAAAGCAACCCTATTTGTCTATTATTTGTGTAATGCGGCTTTGTCCAACACGACATTTCCAGTAACGTAACCCCCCGGCGAGGTCTGCCTGTATGAAATATTGTATTCAATATTGTTTGACCATGAAAGGCCAATGTAGATACAGGCAGAATGGCCAGAATCAAAATGTGAATATTTATTTATATTGGAGAATCAGAAAAGCTACTTGACTTTACCGAAAGAACCAAAGAGTATGGATTCCTGCAGTGACGAAATCTTCAAATCAAGATAGAATGTTTTCAATGTATAGGTTTGGCGTATAGGTCATTGGTGACTTTATGGCTGTAATAAGGGTCAGGTTGTGGTCTTATGAAGGTAAACGCATGGGTGGGCAATTAATGTCAAGATTGCAGCCGTTCGTTATATAAACTAATTAATTTTAATTTACGACGTTAAATACACATGGCCATCGATTATATCCAGAGCGTCATTATCTGGCTTCCAACATCCGGTGAAACGGGAAAAACTGCTGGAAAGGCTTTACCAGTTTACCGACCGGCACCATGTGCGTGACAAAACAAGTAGCTATGCTTTATTTCAGTGCCAAATAATATATACAGTACATTACACATTACAAACAACTTAAAAATGAAAATTCTGCACGTATATACACTTTTCATGACTAATAACTAGTCATAGAAACTGAAAATATACAGTGCGATCCAGCGAAAATTGCGTGCAATTCGGCATTTGCCAAATCACCGGTCTGAAGGCTGCATCAGTGCGACGATTGTCAAACAAAAGTTGTCAAATACAAGTTGTTGTTGTCAAACATAAGTTGTTGTCAAACAAGTTGTTGTCAAACACAAGTTGTTGAACAAGAGCCTAGTACGCACATCACCCCATGCAGAGTCTTCGATATTGGAGTGGTAATAGCGGTACAGTAAATACCGTCACTTTTTACAGCAGGATATTTATTTTGTCATTGTATATTTATTTAAATATGTTCACACCGCAAACTACTTATAACACCAAATATACATACAGAACACCGATAAACATCTTATTCAAGAATGTGCAAAAATAAGCTATTTTAAATAATGATGCGATTATCTGGGTTTTTTTTTAATCCAGTACCCCATTCCCTCCCTAGCCACTGGATAATCGATGATCTACTGTATTAACATAATATTGTTTAAATCATGGGTTAAAGTAGGTAATGTGACAATTGTATTATTTAATAGTGGTTAAAAGTGCTGTAATAAGTGTGGCTAATAACTTAATGATTGCATAAGAAATAAAGTTATAATAGACGTTAAAATACAACATTATCATGCTATACTGAGTATATTATATTCTTTGGTCTTTCAGTAAAGTCACGTAGATAGGTTCAAAAAAATAACAAAAAATAACCATAAGCTATGACGTTTCAATCGCAACACAAGCAGTCGTCTTCGGGGTTAGCTTCCAAGGCAAACTGTTTATAACGGTTTCAAATAGGTATAGCCCAAATGTCTGCAGCCAATGATAATGTAAGTGGTGGAGAGCCAACCTACCGCAACCAAGTGGTCGGCGCGCGAAGTGGCTGTGCTTTTGTGAACCCTGTGAAAGCGCAAGTTTTAAATGGGCGTAAAGCACCACTAACATCGAAAGGTGCTACGATGGAAACATCATAGCCAATTATGACTTAAAACTGGTCGATAACGTTCTTCCTATGATTGCTCAGTTTGTACTCACCTGCTCGGTTGAAAATGTGTCTGTGTCTATATACATGGATGGCTTCATGAACGAACCTTTGTTGATAGCCAGTGGGCGGGCAAAGTACCTTCGTCTTGGAGAAATCAATTCCGTGTGAGCCCACCGCATTAAAACAATGATTAGCCACGGCCGAGGTATTGGTCCTACCGTGTTTCAGATCTGCCTAAAGTTCACGAACACAGTCCGAGACATGTCGCTTAGTTTCCCCAATGTAACTACTGCTGCAGACACATCTTAGTTTGTAGACAACGGGGCATTGCATGTCAGGGATCACATCCTTCACAGTGACCCCTGCCAGTGACCCCTGCTATGTATTGCAAGGTGATGGTTTTGATTGGGTCCTCAGAAGGGTATTTTCCAACGGTTGGGGTGATAGCTTTACGGATTGTGTAGTCCAAATATCCATTTATCTTCAGAGCTTGGTGTACATGTTACAGTTCATGGGCTAGGTGTTGACGGTCGCAAATACACCGAGCTCTATGGTGTAGAGTTTTGATTAGGGAATTATTCTGGGATGGATGGTAGTGGGAGTAGGTAGGCATCCGTATGGGTGGCTTTCCTGTAGAGAGTGTCCCATTGAGCCATCTGGTCTCTTTTCTATTAAAACATCCAAGAATGGTAACTTGCCATTCCTTTTCCACCTCCATGGTGAAATTGATGGCTGGTTGTATGGCATTGATGTGGTTGAGGAATTGATTCAGAGCTGGTCTGCGATGTGGCCAGGTGACGAACGTGTCATCTACGTGCCTCTTCCACAAGGACAGACTAGAGTGGATGCCTGGATGGCATCTGTCTCTTATTTTTCCATGAAAACATTGGCTACAACTAGATATAAGAGAGAACCCATTGGGGTACCTTCAACTTGTTTGTAGAATGTTCCATTCCAGGTGAAATGTTGGTGAGGCAGTGTCACACCAAGGCCGGTACATCAGCATTCAGTCCTTGTTGGACCAAATCTTCAATGATTGCAATGGTGTCAAGCACAGGAACTTTGGTAAACAAGAGACCACGTCGAAACTAACGAGCAAATGACCTTGAAAAAGTGAGATGTCCTTAATTAACGATACCAATTGAGCTGAGTTGAGTACAGCTGAGGTGGTCTTACCAGTGAATTGTTGTAAGGTCTCAGACATAAATCGGGCCAGTTTGTAGGTGGGTGAGTCAATGGTGGAGGCGATAGGGCGAAGGGGTAATAAATTATTAAAAGCTTTCGTGACTGCATAAAATTGCTCATTGTTTTTTTCGGTAAAGTCACGTATGTAGAAATACAATAAAATTATATTAAAACAAAACAATCACGACGTTTCGATCACAACACAAGCGATCTTTATCAGGTGATTGTTTTGTTTTAATATAATTTTATTGTATTTCTACATACGTGACTTTAGCGAAAAAAACAATGAGTAATTTTATGCAGTCACGAAAGCTTTAATAATTTATTAACACACTTCTACGGGGATGTTACCGTTGCATTTCTGTCCTAAATGTACACCCCAAGCCTGTTCCAATCCCCCCCCCCCCCCCGCTTCTGTGTATGTGCAAGATGTGCCTTTTTTGAGCTGCCACAAGATGTTTTTTGAGCTGCCGCTCTCTCTGCCGCCCCCCCCCTCAACCTTATTTCCTATTTAAGCTTCTGTTCATCCCTCTCTCTCTCTCCTTGCCTCTCTGTCCGTCTTTCCTACTGACCGTGTACCTCGTATTTTCACTCTGTCTATGCTGGTTTGTGCAATCCAGAAGTTGAACACGAAATTTAACACTCTTCTGAAATTCGTGGTCTGCCAGGAAGTGTCTAACTGTGTTGTTGTCCTGACTGGCTGTGCTATTTAATAACACTAAATATACAGAGCACCTAAAAATATAATCTTACTTAAGAATATGCAAAAATAAGCCATTTTAAATAATGATGCAATTATCTGGTGTTTTTGAAATTCCGACTGCCGGATAATCGACGATCTACTGTATTACCATAATATAATTTGAAACAATATCATTGATTAGAGTAGGTAATGTGATAATTGTAATTGTATTGTTAATAGTGGTTAAAAGTGCTGTAATAAGTGTGGCTAATAACTTATTTGACGAGTGCATAAAAACAAAGTTATAATAGACGTTAAAATACAACATTATTATGTTATACGAGTATCTTTGTGTTTTGTGTCTGTGTGTGTATATTTGTTTAGGTGTGCTTATATGTGTGTGTGCATCAGGACACTCACGCTAACGTCTCCAAACTCCCTTCTCTTCCCAACATCCCGTCCGCTAAAAGTCGGAGGCCGCTGTCTCCGATCTCGTTGTGACTCAACCTAAACCCGGGTGGACGAGAAAAGGGACAGCGCTGACTCACTGAGCCCACGGGAACCGCGGAGTCAAACACGCGGTGACTGAGGGACACTCACAATGGCGGTGCACGTGACCAGAGCACACACGTTCATGAGCAAAGCTGCTCATTGTTTCATGTATAACACAGAAGCATATGATATTTGTGGCATTCACAAATATTTTACTCACAATCATCCATTCATTTATACTGCACTGTACCTTTATAATCTGAAACGTGTTTGTGTTTACAAGGGTCTTGTTTTGCAAGACCTCCTCTACAAAAAAACAAAGATCCCCCGTGTAGCCTTAACAGACTGTAGGGGCAAGTGCTGTTAGCGAGCACCTACTGTATGAAGGCCAGAACGGCACACGAGGGGGTGGGTGGCCAGCACCACGCCCGACCGCCTTTGTCTCCCCAGTGATGATGTTTACACACCGCACCAGGTCCTCATTTGAGGCTGAGTCGACCTAGAGGGAGGCCCACGTCCGGTTCAGATAATCGTCACCGGTGTTGGCCGTGAGCGGGAATCGAACCCAGGACGCCGGGTTCATAGCCCAGCGTAGCGCTACCCGCTACACTACCGCTCCTCGTCTACACACCTACATACACACACAGTAACTAAAGTAAATGACTCATGAAATAAACTTAAAATTCAAACCAGCAATAGAAACATGGGAATATATAGTTCTCAGTATAGAAAACAAGCAATTACGTAATGCTACCTAAGGAAAATAATTACGTAATGATATTTAAAAAATACCTTAATCCTGTGAAGCTCGGGCTCGGTGAAGGCGGCGTTTTGGTTGAGGCGGGGCTTAAGCCTCGCTCCGCAGGAGACGACCGCAACCTCAACGCGCTGCACTAGTTGTTCTTATGTAATTAACGCTACCATTTCCACACGTTGAATTTTATTACACGATTCATGGGAGCATTTCTGTAAATTCGGATTTCCGTAAACCTGGGACTGCCTGCACATACATGCGTATATTAACTAATTTGTCCATGGCGCACTCAGATCACTGGACGAATTGCGCTTCATGAATGTGAATCCTTATTATATGAAGATTGCTTGCATTCATTTTAATGTAAAAAAATACTGTCACATTAAAACTGCAGACTCAAACAGGGGTGTGTAAAAGTGTGTGAGTGTGTAGTAACGTGCACGTATTCGTGTATATGCATATTAGTGTATATGTACATGTGAGTGAGTGTGTGTATATTCATATATGAGTGTGTACATTAGTGTACATGTAAGATCTAATAAATCTGAAAATCTAAATAGGCACGAGCCTGGATGGTGCTTCTACCCATGACTAACATGCATTACAACAGGTGTTGTAGCCTGCGGAGCTGCGTTATGGCAATGGAACAACATTCATCTCTATGCTCTACACCAACCCACACTGACAAGATTGGTGATGTATGGTCAAATAACCCCCAAGACCTGCATGGTATGGGAGTGCCTTATCCAGCAGTGGAGTGACCAAAGGCTGCATGCACTGTGTACGTTTGTGTGTGTACATGTCTGTGTGTATATACGAGTGTCTTTGATTGTGTTTAGGGGAATGGTGGGAAAGTTGTTGGCACATTACATTACGAACTAAGTGACCTGGGTTTAATATCTGTAAACAGCATCAGTGGTGAGTGATAAAATAAAATCTAGGGTGACTCAGCCTTAAATGAGTACCTGGTATGTTGTGTAAACATCAGCAATGGGGAGAAAAAGACAGCCAAGGACGGTGCTGGTCAGGGAAGTGCGATTAGCACTTGCCTCAAAAGTGTGTGCAGGCTCCACGGGGAGATTGTCTTTGTGCTCTAAAGTGCAGTGTAATAGTGTGTGTTTGTTCCCTGTCACTGGCTTCACTTTCCCCACCAGTTTATATGGGCTACTTGGGGGATCTTTGTCTCTTTAATGCTTTACAACTAAGATTAACACCCATTACCAATCAGCTGTCTCTGTAGTGGTGAGCACAATCACTGACCATGATCCACTGTGAACCAGGGGCTTGAATCGGCCACGTGGATCAAACCGTTACCCTCACTCTCCACCGCAGTCGCAATCAGGGCTACATTTTCTCAGTATGGCCTAAGGTCACCTCACTCCCTGCATATAGTGTGAGGGCTATCATTATCGCTAATTAAATGTTGCTGAAGATGATGGAAAACTTTACAGCATCCATGAATATGCATAACTTTTTTTTTCCTTTTGTACTTTAACATACAGTGAGTGCAGCATTCACTGTGGACCCACCTACTCACTGTACATTTACTCACCCACTCACACTAATTCACTCATTCACCAACCCACTCACACAATAATTCACTCATTCACCAACCCACTCACACACTAATTCACTCATTCACCAACCCACTTACACGCCACTCACATCCTCACTTAACTCCACATATTCACTCATCGATCCACCCACCAAGTCACCCACCAACTCAAGCAGGCACGCACTCACTCACCGAACCTCATCCCTCAGTGGATGAGTGGGAGTGGGTATGCGGCTGGAGAGTGAAGGTATGGGCAAGGGTGGGGGATGGGTTATGGAAAAAGTGAAGGCAGGAGCAGATTGGGGGTTAATGGGAGGTATCAAGGGAGGGGTGAGCGTGGCGTGCGGGGAGAGGAGTGAAGTGAGTGAGGACAATGATGGCAGTGGCAAGGGGAATAATTTGTCAAAATTTGTATTCATGCTTGGGCTACGCAAGACCGAGTGTTTACGTGAGAATGGAGTTACATTGTACTGTATGCACAGTTAATAAGTGAGGATTCTTATAGAGAAAGATCTGCCGTATAGCCTTAACAGACTGCTGGGGAAAGTGCCGTTAGGGAGCACCTATGAAGGCCGGCATGGCATATGATGGAGTGGGTGGCCAGTATCACGCCCGGCTGCTTTTGTCTCCCGAGTAGCGATGCTTTACACACCGCACCTGGTACTCAATTGAAACTAAGTTGATATCACACACACACACACACATGCACACACAATTTGTGAAGTAGTGAAGGCGAGGTGTGCAAGTCTTACAGTAGCTCTTTACATCTGTGCAGTCCAGGCTGAAGCCTCTTCATTTCCTCGGTGCCGATGCCACAGCCGAACAGGTTGAGTGTCTCCACAGGTTCTTCTCGCTGCAGCAGGATCCAGGAGATGGCAGAGCAGTCTGGCAGGGACAGCCTTGTGAGTGACAGGTCTATCTCAGTCATGGACCGAGTGGCATCACTCAGGGACTTGCGGTCATGCAGCTCGTGCAAGCAGTGCAGGAGACTGATGAGCCTGTGTCTGTCAACATTCTGAGTCTCCATGCTGTGATTGAGCCACTCGATTATTTCCTTTTGAGAATCAGCAGATGGAGGATCCAAGATACCCTCAAAGAACTTCCATGGAGGGCTTGATGCTAGTCCACAAAAAAAAACCTCTGAAACACATCAAACCTCCCATCTTTGCTGTCCTTAATAGCCTTGATGACGTCACTCACTGGCCGTGTTGAATGTGACAGATGCACGGCTATCGCTGCAAAAAATTCCTGCATTGTCAAGTGTGAAAATGAATAACAACTCCCTTGTTGAATGCCCTCACATGTGAACACTTTGTTGATGAATGTACTTCCTAGTTCAGAAGAACTAACAAAACACTCTTCTAGATATTTTTGGCTGAACATCTGGATGTTTTGCTGAACCCCCTTCAGAGCCATATTGGCAAGAGACTTCCTTGGTTCCGCGGCTGCCACGTCCATGGTGTTTTATGAGCCCACACACGTATTGCGTGAAGAGGTCAGTCATTGATTTGAGGATAATCTAAGAATGATCAGACTTTTGTAAATGTTCCTTCAGTGTAATGGCTGCTATATGGCAGAATGAAGGGTTCTGGGACAATGTATTCACCGTTTCATTTTCCTGCAGGAGCTTGAGTGCCCTTTCTGCTAGACTCCTGTCTTGGTAAAATTTGTTTAAGAATGATAGTTTATCGTCGTTGGAAAACCCAGTGATTTCAACAGCTCGATCAACATTCACTTCACTCAGCTGCTCCATGGCAATGGGTCTGGTCGTTATCAAGACCGAGGCCTTGGGCAAGAGATTTCCATTCACTAGGGCAGCAATGATGGCTTCTACTGTTGCCGTCTTACGTGGATCAGTGCAAGTATTGGCATAGTGAAGGCGCTTTCCAAACTAGTCCAACCCATCCATAACAAAAAGGGTTCTCTCTTGGTTTGTGAAAACCTCATCCGCTTTGTTTCCCAAACATGAGTGCATCACAGAAAACAGCTCTGCGAGTGACACCTCTCCAACATCATTTATCTCCCTGAACGTGATGAGCACAATGTGCTCAAAGCGTTGTGCAAACACTCTCTCACCTGACAGAAGGCTGTGCACAATGAATTTGCTCAACATGGTTTTACTGCTGCCTGGAGTCCCCACCACAATAACCAGTCGAGGGTGTGTTTTTTTTTCCAATGGAACTGATGGGATCAAAGAGCTTCTTGTAAGTCATCCCTTCTCTATGTGCTCTCTCCATCGGCTCCTTGTGCTGTTTGCCTCTCGCTAGTAACTCGTGCTCCTTGGTTTCTTGATGGCGGTAGTAGGGAACCAGAATTGGCTTCACCATCCTCTCCAGCAAAAACACTGCAGGTTCTCCAGGTCGTGCGTCGTAGGTTCGTGTTAATGATGTCAGCTTCAGCAAGAATTCTCTGAAATCCTCACCAGGGTTATCTAAATTAAACAGATATTATTTAGCAAACAAATTAGTTTCATTTATACTAAAAAACATTCCTATAGCAGAAAAATATGATTAAATAAACTATGTAATTAAAAAAAGCGTAGCGAATTCGTTCACTATGGATAATGCAGCAACATCATGTACATCACGAATTATTGCGTGGAAGTTTTCACGAAGCGTATTCTACAAATGCAATTTTTATAAACACTGTACCTTTGTAAAATATATTTTTTATTATGACAAAAATGTTCCAACCACTTGAATTTAACTTTTTATATTTCACTAGTATTGGGGCTGTGTTTCCTCTCCCATCTCAAGCTGGCCTATATCACGTAGCACGGGGGCTACACTGTGGTGGAGGAGTGCAGTACACCAGGCACGGTTCTCTGCAGGTAGAGAAGATGCAGTGTTTGCTAACTGGCGGAGCCAGTTATGGGGGGGGGGGGGGGGGGTGGCACGTGCCTCCCCTGATCCGATCGAAATCCTTAATTTCGATCGATAAATCAACATTTTGCGACCGCCACTGTGTAGCATATTACTATGTGCCAGAGACTCTATGAGATGATAGGACAATAGTCTGAGTCCATAATTGGCAATAAGTAACGGCAAAGCAGTTATAAGTGATTCACATAAGTGTGCGCAGTTGCGTATACAGTGCACGACTTCCCTGAAGGGACACCTTCAGCGAGCGCGATGCCGATCACACGGTTCGAATTCGACCCTCGATCGTTGGCTGCGCCATCGCCGCACACGCGTCGAATAAAAAGCAAGGGACAAGTCCTTACGTAATAACAACTATAAAAAAATGTTTATTGCTGGAGGAGTTACCCCCCTACCTGAAAATCCTGGCTCCACCATTGTGCTTGCACCTTCACAATAACAGCCACATAAATCACAGAACTCGTAACATCCCACGTGATGCATCGTAGGTTCACTTGAACTTCAACTAACCTGGCTACTGCATCATCAGCAAGCACTGTGGCATCCCCTAGATTGGGGAGAGTGGAGATTCCCCTAATGACAGATTTGCTCGACATCTTTCATCACAGCTTTTCAAGTTAACATCTAACTCGATGGCTCATAACTTTGATGGTGTTATTTTAATCTCTCCGTAATCTCTCCATAATTTAATACTTGGGAGTCATGAGTTAGAGTGGACTTTTTACAAACGATGAGGGCTTAAATATTGACATTTTATTTGGAGGAAGTTTTAACCAATTCAAGTCAGGGTGTAAGAGGAAAGTAGGTTCCGTTATATGAGTCAATGGCAATATAAGGCTGGGTGTCATTAGAAATAGCAGTGATAGTCGATAATAAAAACATATTTTTTTCTCAAAACGAGGAGATTGTACTGAGAATAAAAGATGGCACAGGACTGCGCCATGTGGAACACCACAGAATTAGGGCTTCTGAACAGAAGACAGTGCTTGCATGGAAAAATATGAATCAATTCCAGGGGTTGAAGCAGAACCAGGAAATACGTTTGTCAGAAAACACCTGCATCGCCATGAAGATTCAAGAGGATGGAGTGGTGTCAAAAGCAGCCCAAAGGTCAAGAACTAGAAGCAGCATCCATAGTTTAACAGAAATGGTCATTTGCCCTGCATAGGGGAACAGTTTCAATGACATGGCCTTGGTGGAATCCAGATTGTACCAAGTCATGGAGACCATGGCAGCAGATGGGTTTGCTGCCATTGCCAAACATCTTGGGCTTGACACTTGAAAGAGAGCTTCATAGGTCATTACATTATTACAGCTTAAATACCATGTCTGTGTCTGAAGAGGAGGTAGAAAATCACCATGTTTACGTCTTTTCCAAGGAAAGGGAGGTGTGGGATATGACGAATTAATGAATGTTGGGGTCCAGTGTGGATGTAAGTTTTTGATATTTACACACATTTTCATTATCCATCTATCCTTTCCTCCCAATTGCTGATAAATTGTAGTTTCCCTGCTATGGAATGGAATATAAATGTCCTCCTTCTGAGAGGAATGTTGTCATGCAAGGGTGGTGCAGTTTGCTAATATTAAATGACAATCTCAGTTCAAAGCAATTCCTTCACCTAAACTTGCCAGAGACATGTGAATGGCTATGTGAAGTTTAGCATCACTCACGAGAAGCTGCTCCAGGGATGGCTTTACCCGCAGTTCTGCTCAGATCGACACCGATCACGTTGAGCTGCTGCTCATGCTGTGAGATCCACTGATCCAAGAGAGGGATCTCGGATCTCAGTCGCACGAGCACATCTTCAAGAAATATCATGCAGACTTGTTCTCCCTTTATGAGCACCAGGTTAACCAGAAGCCGTGTTTGCACAACGGGGTCATTCTCGCTGTTAAGAGATGTGTATTCACTGTCCAGGACTATCCCTGTTTGATAGGAATGGTCAAGCACTTCTGAAGACTTCGCCTGGAGGTATTTCTGCAGATTCACTTTGTTGGTTTTAATGATCTCATATGCAGGATCTTTTGATGCCATCACGATATATGCATCGAGTCACCTGAAGAAAATGAAAACAAACCACGTGTCACCTGTAAGCATAGTCGTGTAATTTTATCCAGGTACAGGGAAGAATAATTATAAAAAAATAAAATGTTGCTACTAAAATCTGAGAGGTCTCGGTTAGGTACAATTGTGACTTTAGGTATTTGATTGTGAATACATTGACTTATTTAAATTGTAATGAAAGCTTAAAATTGTTATTGGAATATATATAAATACATAAAATTGCATCAAAACACTTTAGGCATCTCAAAACACTCTTCAGTGCAAGTATTTGAACATTCACATCAACACAACACTACGATAAAAAAAGTAAAATGTGAACCTAATTCAAAACGCCACACAGTTTTAGCAGATTAAGCAGCTGCGTGACACCACGTGCTCACTGCCTCGACCATCGTGATGCCACGCAGACGGCAAATTGCATTGTAATGTGCAATGATCGGGATAGCGTCACCTCTAGTTGAGTGACGATTAGAGGGTGGGAGCCAGGTTTGATCTTGGGTAGTCCCTATGTAGTGGGCACTCCCATGCTCTCAATGTATGGGTAGAGGGTGCTCTGAGGTTGTCTAGCAGTGGTATGACGTCACATACCGCGCTCCCAGCAGCGGCTGGCGGGGCCGTTTGTGAGGGGGCCGGGGGAGCTGACAGAGGGAGCCGATGGAGCCAGGGGGCCGACGGGGCCCGGGGGAGCCGGGGGGGGGGGGGGGGGGGCGACGGAGCCGGGGGGAGGAGGGGGCGACAGCGCGAGCAGAGGGAGCCGACACTGACTTTCTCATACATCATACACTGACTCACTCACACATCATACACTGACTCACTCACACCATGCACTCGCTCACACATCATGCACTGACTCGCTCATCATGTGCTTACTCACACATCATACACTCGCACAACCACTGACCCATTCACTCATCATACACAGGTTCACTCATCGTGTGCTGGCTCACTCGCACATCATACACTCACTCTGCCGCTGACTCGCTCACACATCATACACTGACTCACTCATCATGCGCTGACTAACACATCGTGCGCTGACTCACACATCATATACTCACTCAACCTAATACTGACTCAATCATCATACGCTAACTCGCACATCATACGTTGACTCGCACATCATACACTCACGCTGCTGCTGACTCACTCACACATCATACACTGGGAGTGTCGTGCTGCCAGCTATGGCTGCAGGTTTTGTCGTACATGTTATGTTTATTGTTAATTTTAAAATCACAGTTCCTATGATTACTGCTGTTACATTGTTTTTGTAGCTTTATTTTGGTCTGGTTGTGGTTTAATAGTTTTCTGCAATGTAGATTCATATTTTGTTTGTTGCGGTTGCACTCGACTTAAGAGCCACATGGCTCACAGGGCTATACCTAATAAATTAAACTTGAATACGCTTCACAGAAATGAGTAAACATGACCTTTTGTGGAGGTAGTGTGTTTGTGTGGGGAAGCCAAAACTTAAAGTACACACATGAGGCAGCGTCAATGTTACTGTAATGTTCATTATGTTAAATAAATCACTTATACAGGACAGCAGTGGTCCAGGTGTCTGTGCAACCACCTTCCTATGCCTTTGAATCTCCACTTGCACTGTCTCTTAGGAATCCTTCAAAATGAGCGGCACGTTACATCATCAGCAGCCATTGTCTTTCTACCGCTGGATGAACGCCCTATATTTGTTTAACATGAGAAATTAATGAAAAAAATTCTTAATTTAACATTTTTTATTAGTATCAATAATAACGAAGCATCTGGTCAGTGAGTATTCACCACGTGCATTTACAACAGCATGCAGAGCATGAGACTATAACGAGTTTTGTACATCATGTTTGTAAACCCAAGTAATCCATTCTTTAGTATGAGATATTTATACATTTAACTCTTTGTGTATTGAGCTGTGTGTGTTGCATTGCTGCAAACTAAATATCTATACTGTACATATACAGGCCGGTCTGACTTAACCAGCGTTCTTTCTACAAGAATGTGCTATAACAAGCAATATTAATTTATCCCTGGGGTGTCACTATATACGTATGATTTTATGAGTAGTAAATAGTACGAGGAGATAATGCAATAGGGAGAAGGGGGTGAGGGCGTGGGCTCAGTCGCATTTTCTCTCATACAGCACACATCTCCACAGGAAATGAAAAAAATAACACCTGGCAAATGGACATACATTGATGTTTACGCCCAAGGCGCAACAACTCTATTGGTTTCACTATCGTACAGCTCCACGCTACACAC